ACCGATTCTAGTTTGTCGTATTCTAGGAGATATTAAATATTTTTGAAATTGTAGTATGAGGATAAACCTATTAGTGAAAGAACAATTTAATATAAAATCTATTAAAATTTAGAAAGTGGTAGCAAATATATGTATAAATTTTTTTTTAATTTTTGAATATAATTGGTTTGCTTTATTTACTTGTCAACTACTGCGGATTTAATTCTCAAATACATATGATAAATTTTTCTCAATTGCTTTTAAAATAGCATCAATTACGTCTTTCATTTCTCAAAAATCAAATATTGTACAGTCCGCAAAAAAAAAAGATATCACCCTGAATAACTTTCGTTCTAATGATCGGATTTTCACGAACTAAGTGTCAATCTTAATGGTTCCTGGGGGTGACCTCAAATATGCTAATTAATTAGTGCTANTTGACTTTTGTATGGCTACCACAATGTTTGCCAAATCAATGTATTTTACCTTACTGTATGCAATTTAATGATGAATGGGATAGGGGACGCTTCGCGGCCAGGTGCCCAGTTTATTTAAATAAAGCAAGCAAAGCTTTTAAAATAGAATTTGGGCACAAGTGGCTCGCTTTTTTAAATAATCTTCGCAGACTACTTATAAGAAACCGTGTGGAGGCTTTCTGATGTAGGAGGTGATGACTTGCCTCGCTGTGTAAAAGAAAATTTCCTACTGGTAACGAAATTCAAGTTATTTTTAGTTTAGTATTTTTCATTCTAAGTAATTTTTTTCCACCAATACGTATTGAAAATTCCAAGTACCGAATGAAATGCAGCTTCATTGCATTTATTTAGTGGTTACTTTTTTAAGGAGTAGGCGTAGTTATCCTTCTGGCAGATCTCTTCTGCAGACAGAAAATGTCGGAAAGGCAAGCAGTATTGTCGTTCGATAAAAGTGAAATGTTAAGAACGTTGGTTAACGGAATTATTATTTAACTTTTGCATTAAATAATGCTGAGAGCTAGAACTCCCGGGGTGACAGTTCTGTTTAGGTAGTGATGGGAGAAATGCTTTAAAGTAAACTTACTTAACCAAGAATCAAACATTAAAGGGCAAATAAAGGGTTTTATAGGAACATTTGAATCATTTACATGTAGTTATATATATAATGTAGAGAAATCCTTTAAATTTAATTTTTAAAATAAAGAATTATACATTAAAACCTAACTTTAGTTATCACTTGAAAGAAATTCTCCCCAAAAGCGTAGATAGTTGGCAGTCATGTATACTACCATCACCTCTTACATCAGAAAGCCTCCACACGGCTTCTTATAAGTAGTCTGCGCAGATTATTTAAAATGCGAACCACTTGTGTGCACGAATCCAAATTCTATTTCAAAAGTACTTGAGAGTAATTTATCCTATATATTTGAGAATTGAATCTGTAGTGGTTGACAAGTAAATAAAACAAACCAATTATATTCATAAATGAAACAAATTGTAGACATATATTTGCTACCTCTTTCTAATTTTTAATAGATTTCATATTAAATGGCTCTTTCACTAATGTGTTTACCTTCATTGTGGTCTGATTGGACTACCTGCAAAAAACCGTGTGGAGGCTTTCAGTTATAGGAGGCGTTGGCATTCCGGTAAAGAAATATAACAAGAAACCGATCCAACCATTTATTGGTTTTATTCCAATTATTGCATTCTAAATGACTAAATTTATAAAAACTAAATTTTGAAAAACCTTTTTAAGTAGGAACCTTTGAATTGTAAGATTTATATTAGAGAAGCCCAAGCCGCATTTACACAGTGCTTTTAAATTACATTTCTAGATTCCGCATAAAGCCAATTCTAATTCCGCTCTCCTCTTAAAGCCATGAAATCTGGAACGGTGTATGTGATGGTTAAACTGGGCTTACATTTCACCGTAACACCGACCTATTTATATTCATAAAGGATCTCCCGCTAGAACGATTGGCTCGGCTATTTGGCGATCTTCTATTGATCCTAGACAACATATAACGCAACAGCAAAGGATTAATAGCTGACAACTACAATATGATTTGGGAATAGAGGGTATATTTTAGTAACTCTTATTCTGCGGATTCTGAATCGAGTGCTCATTATTTACAGGTGTATGAATTAAATATGGAAGGTGCAAGGAGTATAATGTATTTGAACTTGTTTCTCTCTTGATAGTTAAATATATTGCCGAAATATTTTAGTTTGATAGTTTCATTTTATGAATTATAGTTAATTATATTATAAGAATCATAAATAATGTTTAGGGCAACGTTTTCAAAGCTTAAAGGTAATAAGTTATAGGTAATATAATGGTAAAATATAAGGGTAAGTAGTTTTTGGCGTTTATGCAAAAGCCATTTTGTATAAGAGTTTAGTTTATAAAAAAAATTATAAATAAACAATTTAAACTTTTTTGCCCTTAGACATTATGAATATAAAGTAGGGCATACCTATATTAACGATCCATAAAAGTACCAGTATAAAATTTTTTTAATGAATATGAAGTAGCACAGTAATCATTTGAAATGTTGAATTTTTATTTTTAGAAGAAAAGCTTAAAGTGTTACCATAAATGTTCGAAATGACGTCTTCTATTGTGAATGCCAAAGCGTGTTTGTTTTTCGAGATTTTCGTCGCCAATAGCGCGTGACGTAAATAAAGTATCTACTTACCTTTTCCAAATCGTCAAAAACTAATCAGATCAGTACTGAAGTTGAAATTAAGTGCTGCAATGCTCTCTTTAAGATTTGCAATCATGTGTGTTCTAACCACATAAACTACATTTTCTGGAAACAGCATGGGGAAAAATTAGTCGTTGATAAAACTGAAGACCTAGGGGATCAAGGTTTCTGAGAAAAGTCAGGGTAATCGCATCAATATGACTCCAACAATAGTATATGTTGTTCCTGGTAGCCTTGTTTTCTGGTTATCTTGTTCTTGCAATCTTGAACAACAAACGATTCACAGATGAATTATCGGAACTCAAAAACACCAGAATTGGTTGAAAAAAATCTGGAAGAAATGAACAGATTCACTTAACTGGATGAAATTGAAATGTAAAGAATTTTTAATATCTAATGCATTGTTAATGTTTGATTTGTTTTACAATCAAAAAATTATGAACAAAGAACTATTAACTGAGAATTAAGAACTCTGCAATGTCGATCTTTCACATCATTGTGCACTTCGAACAACAATTGGTACGTATAAATGATATACCAACATTGCTTTCATGTCTCATTTTTAATTTAGTTATAACCAGTAGTTGGTCTACAAGTCCATCAGGATGGTAGTTAAAAGGATCCTTTAATGCTCCTTCTTTCAGGACGTTACTCGTAAAAGCGGCATTCAGCCCTGGTATGACCATGTTCCTGAGGGTCCTAGACATTGAACGGTGGCAAACGGCTTTCCTTTGGCCGCGTTTGTTCCGGCAGCTCTATTCACAGAGTTCAATTTGCTCACAAATATTGTTATCTTCAGTGTAACAACCAGGAAGAAGTAGGCATATCTCACTTTGCTTCCTGTATCTTTTCTACTGTTCCTACTTCCTCTTCTTACTGTTCCTTTATGGAAGCGTTATTAAAATGCCAGATATCAGTCTATTGATTAACTGAAGTCTCCCCCCCTCTGCATTATTGCAAATTTTGACGTATGCTATAACGTGATACCGAAAATAAAAAGAAAGCTTAGACGTGAATGAGTTTAAACTCACTATAAAAATAATATTGAGCTGTCGAAAAAGAATGTGACATAATCTCGTAATGTATAGGTATCGAAGGTGTTTGAAGCGCTGGTCTTCGATTTCAGAAATCCTGAAGAACTATATCGCCGCCAGAAGATTGTAACTCGGTGACATTTGTTTGCACGCTAGGGATGCATTATAATATCATATATTAAATCATTTGATATGATAAATATTTTACGACCCATGAAAAAATACTTCTGTCTTTAGAACATAATTATTTAAGAGGAAGCCTTACCACGGGAGCAATCTTTCGTTGCAAATTCTTTTTCCCCTCCATTGCTGATTTAAAATTTGAAGGAAAGAAAAAAGGGAGTCCAGACAAACCTAGAGTAAACTTTGAAGTTTCAATTGCTGAAAAAAAAATTAAATCTAAAAATGCAAACAAATTATTGGAAGAGAACTTCTCCATTACATAATTAAGTGTTATTTTTTCATGATTTATTTTCGTTTTGATGTTTCAAAAATGTCTTTCTAGTATTAGAAACACCATGGCATACTCTAGGATTGTCTGGATTCACTTTTTCTGTAATTTTTAATTAGTTACGGAGCTGAACGAAAATTTGTGGCGAAAAGATTCTCCCGTGGTATGAAATTCTCTTAACTAATAAATATTGAATTTCAGAACAATACTTTGTCCTACCATAACCCTTTAACGAGCTTATTATTTTCAAGAACACGGTCATAAATGTACATATTTTTTTATTCAAGAAAATTATGTAAAAAAAAGGTGCAAGTACAAGATATGTGTTCATTTTTAATTTTAGGAATTTTTTTAGCTTGAAATTTAGAACTCCATATGTCCATGTAGCTCTGACTCCATAATGTGCACAAAAAATATTTTATCACAACAGAAACCACGTGCTTCCCCAAAGTAGCTGAGTTAAAAGTATTAATTACATATATTTGTATAGTGCTGAAATCCAGTTTAAAATATACTATATCCAGTTACATTAAAAAAACTCTGGTGCAGCCATCTAGTGTGTAAAATAAGAAATTAAAAAAATTCCAGGAGCAAGAGAGGGATTCATTCAAACCTTTTTGGTGCATTACTTTTGAACGCTCTAGCCCGGAAATATCACGAACACGAGAAATAAGAAACGAAAGTTCACCTGTGATTTTGACGGGGGAAGAGGTTAAATCAAATGTTTATTTGTATATTTACTTATTATTAGATTTATTTATCATTATGGAAGAGGATTCAAATCAAATGTTTATTTATTTATTAATTTTGTTTATTGTCAAATGATGCTTAATTAGTTGTCCTATTTTAGGTGCGAGAAGCAAACAGTGCCTACCTAGAAAACAACACTCATCTGACAGTTCACATTGAGTGGTTGGAATCTGTTCTTCTCTTTAGCGCCCTCTACCATAAATATGATGACGTGTGCAGAATACACGGACACCAGATGAAGTGAGTTTTCTTTCTTACACTCATGCATAGCTTCTCTGAATTCTAAATGTACTTTGGTAGATAAAAATTACTTAATATCATTTTTGTTTCTTCAATCTTTCCTTTCCTCTTTCGATTCGTTGGGACGGACTTGATAATTTAGACCAAAGATTCCCACTGCTCCGGATTCGACTAAATATTTTTTTTTTAAAAAACAGTATAAAAAACTACAAATTAAATTTGCGAAAATTCAGCAAGTTTGGAAAACATATTATAATTAGGTGGTCGTATACATAATCAGCCTGGGCCTAACATCAATTCGCTTCGATTCTTTTAAAAGTTTTCAAAATAAATCTAAAATCTGCAGATTTTAATTTCCAGTTCCCTACCTTTTTTTTTAATTTTTTTAAAGTATTTTGTGAAATCCGGAGCAGCTGTTATCTCTAAATGTAATAACTAATTTGCAACGACAGTCAGTATGAAATGTTCTCAATCAAGGTACAAAACAAAACTATTTCTGGTGTGGGGGCAGACATGCCAACTTGCTCTGCGTTGTGAAAATATATTTTCTAGTGGTAAAGAAATTTAAGTTATTTTCAGTTAAGTATTTTTAATTGTGAGTACTTTTTTCACCAGTACATTCAAATTCTAAGTGTCATATAGAATGCAACTTTATTGCAGTTATAACACTTTGAAATAGTGGGCTTAAATTACCTTATTCTACAAGTTTTGCTATTCAATTCGCTACCAATTTATTTCAATTTTTGCAGAAAGTGAAGCAGTTGGCATCCCTAGAGATTCTTTACAGCACTACTTAGCTCTAAGTATACACTATATGGTTACACTTTGAACTAACAGTGATTAAAATAAAAGCACAATAAGACTGTCAATTAAGCGATGCCTACATTTTAGTTACCACTTTTTATATATTTTTTTTAAAATCTTGATTCCGTGTTACTCGCCCGTCCCCAAAAAGTTTAACCGTTTAAATGGCACTGCACCATTTTTGGAAAATGTCTAACAAGGGAAACTAGGGAAGTGTGACTCGCCAATTTTGAAATAAACTAGTGGGATGTATGCCTTATGAGGAATAATTTTAGGGGGCAACATTCGTTTCGGCCCATAGAAGGTTGTGTGGGAGATAAAAAATAATTCAATGTATAGAAAAATCGGTATTTTATTACTTCAATGCAGACTATTAGTTATTGTAATTGTCTCATAATCCAATTAATTTGTAATTAATTGGATAATTAATTAATTTGCTTGTTGATAAATTAATCAAAAAATTAATTAATCATTGATTAATTAATCAATCAAAAAATTAATTAATTAATTGTTAATTAATTGTTAATTAATTAATTGATTTGCAATTACATACTCCAATTAATTTGGAAAGTTTTTTGGAAAAAAAATTTAAAAAATTTAATGTCATTTTTTTTTTTAAATTGACCTAACAGGTTTTTCTGAAAAACTACAGATATATAAAATTTTTGAAATCAATTTTGACAATAAATATGCATTATACCGTACGTGAAAGTATCACAAAATTAATTGGAGTATGAGACAATTACAATAACTAATAGTCTGCATTAAAGTAATAAAATACGATTTTTCTATATATTGAATTATTTTTTATCTCTCACAGAACCTTCTATGGGCCGAAACGAATGTTTCCCCTTAAAATTATTCCTCATAAGGCATACATCCCACTAGTTTATTTCAAAATTGACGAGTCACACTTCCCTAGTTTCCCTTGTAAGATCGGTCTCTCAATTAATTTGCTCTTGGCACTTGAAAACACTATTCTTAAGAAAACTGATTATTCCTATCCCATAAAATCTATTGGTTATATAAAATTATATATTTTGTGATATATATCTTTTCTGTAATCAAACAGCTGTATATTTTAACAAAAATTAGTAACCAGTTTAACAGAATTTATATGGAAACCTACTACCAAGTTTTCTATAAAGTCACTTTTTCCATTAGCGCAAAATAATTGTCCGGTAGGAAAATTGTTTAGAGGACGATACTTAATAATAGCAGAGACGTAGAACGTTTTTTTCTTGATATTTGAGTTTTGAAAGTTGTTGAGCTCTCTTTACTATGCCTTGTTTAATTTAGGATTGTCTATGCCAGGATTAATTTCCCTAAGCTTTGTTTTGCAATAGATTCAGAACTTAATGTAAATTCCCTCGAAAGGTATATTTTCTGCCGCAACTTTTCAAATAACCATTAGAGTTCCAGTCGAGTTCAATTATTCAGGAATTTATCACAGAAACGAAACTTTCTCTTCAACCTTTGTACGATTTGTATAGTACTTGAATCATTAATCATTTAATGATGAAGCTGTACCGCAGTTGACTATTCAAACAATACCCAACAAGAAAAGCTTTGTATGGTTAATAGATAGTGCGACTGAAGTTTCGTTTCGAAACTTCATTTGGACATTTTCATTTCGAGGTTTTCATAAATTTCATTCGTAATATATTTAAATTTGCTATGTACAGTTTAATTTTTGAATTAAAGAATTACCATACTTTTGTTTCCAACGTTTCTTTATTTTCTTATGTAGTTTTGTTTCTTTTTTCTTTTTTTCTTTTTGAAAATTGTGACTGCCACTGAATATTTGAAAATTAGATTTCAATTTAGTTATGTAGAATGCGCAAAATAAATAAATAAACGTTCCACACTGAATAACTTTTGATCAATAGATTATATCTTCCNATTCTCGCAAATAAATATGTGTGTATATGCTACCACCTCAGAAGAAAAAAAAAAAAACATTCTTGACTTCTTTCACATTCTTTCTATTTCAATTAAATTTTAGTGACTTTTTTGTATTAATACTTTCCGAACACAAAAAAATACTGAATTACTGATATACATTCCTTTAAATCGAAGTTCATAATAACATGAACAATACCTAGTGCTTAGCTTCATTTAAAATACTTCTATTATACTAGTATGCAACTTTTTTTGAGAGATGAGAGAATTGGCGAGTTTCTAGTCTTCAAGAATTGTAGCAGGATTCGAAGGTATTAAAATACGCCAATGCCAATCTCATTGAGTAACCCCTAAGCTTTCTCGAAGTTCTTCCTCCCTCTCTGCGCCTGAACATCATTAACAACAGGTGTGTTCTTAGGGGGGGGACTGTCTTGAGTAGTACAATGGGTTATCTTTTGGGCCAGAGAGGGCATCCCCCAATTATTCAGGAATTTATCACAGAAACGAAACTTTCTCTTCAACCTTTGTACGATTTGTATAGTACTTGAATCATTAATCATTTAATGATGAAGCTGTACCGCAGTTGACTATTCAAACAATACCCAACAAGAAAAGCTTTGTATGGTTAATAGATAGTGCGACTGAAGTTTCGTTTCGAAACTTCATTTGGACATTTTCATTTCGAGGTTTTCATAAATTTCATTCGTAATATATTTAAATTTGCTATGTACAGTTTAATTTTTGAATTAAAGAATTACCATACTTTTGTTTCCAACGTTTCTTTATTTTCTTATGTAGTTTTGTTTCTTTTTTCTTTTTTTCTTTTTGAAAATTGTGACTGCCACTGAATATTTGAAAATTAGATTTCAATTTAGTTATGTAGAATGCGCAAAATAAATAAATAAACGTTCCACACTGAATAACTTTTGATCAATAGATTGTATCTTCCCATTCCAAACTTTAGACCGGTCTTCTGACTAAATTTTCATATATTTCTCAAATTTATGGCCATATTTCTCAAATTGTGGCTTCCTCATATATTTTAGGGGAGTATCAGCAATCGAAATTCATAAAAAATAAGACATGTTTATTCAAAGAAAATACGTTTTAGTGCCTGATTTCGTAACTTAAAACATCGTCTGCAGAAATTGTTAGCATATTTGAGGTCACAGCCTCGAACCATTAAGATTGAGTTGTAGAACGTGAACATATCTTAAATCTTGTTTCCATTTTTTTTTCTTTCATTCTCATGTTCAGTTTTTGTGCATAAGTCAAACTGAATATTATCGAAAAATTGACATGCCCAGTCGAACAATTCTTCAGGTGTTGCTATATTTTGTGTTTGCAAACTACTCTTTCTTGCTTCCCTCTTCACTGTACCACCAATACCATTGCATGCCCCTTTGCCATGTTTGACTTCTGCACAAAAACTGAACATGAGAATGAAAAAAGAAAATTGGAAACATGATTTAAGAAAGCTTCAACAATTAATGGAACTAGAGAATACCATACTTATTTAGTTGAAAATTTTGAAACTTTCAAATGTATTCTCAAATATATTCTTCTAGCTCCAAGTTTGAACTCGAAAAATTATGTAAATAAATTATAAATAATTAATTATTCATAATATTATTCACCTAAAATTATAAATTATATATTTATTATTTTATATAATGTTTGTTATTTTGTGAAACTTTAGTTGAGGTTTTTAAATTCCCTCCAAATTAACTGATACAGCGCAATTTAGCGATCAGCGGAGTGGAGTGGTATTGCGCGCCACGGTGCAGCGTTTTGCAAAAAAAGGAATATATGGAATTGCAATCCATTTTTTTTAAAGCCATTTTGTTCAGAATAAAATTTACTTTAAAATGGGTTTTGTTTGAACTTTGTACGAAATTAACAACATTTTTGTTTTTCATTTTACAACTTAATTTTGCAAAAAAAATTAAATTTTTTAAACATTTGTTTTATTATAATTATTTTATCAAAAACTTCAATTATTTCCGCGTAAAATGAGAAACATTTTTTTAAAAATCCATTCATTCTATCCTTAGATTTTTATTTTTTAATTAAAAAGAGCTTTAAAATTTAATTGTTAATATATTGTAAAATAAATTAAATAAAAAAAATCGTTTCGGGCTATTGTTTTGTATAATATATACTTTTTAAAAAACAACAGAAAATGTAAAAATTATAAAAATTATAATATCAAATTTTGGGTGTTACCGCTATGTAAATTTTGACTCAATAGTATAAGGACTTAATGTGTAGGTGTCGATTAAGTTTTATAAATA